TACCCTTAGACGATGTGAGTATTGGTGTTTCCTCCATTCAGGGTGTCTTCCCGTCCATCTTTGGACGATGTGAGTATATTTTTCTTCCTGTCTATCAGTAGACGAGGTGAGAAGATCAGATGTTTTGTTGCAACCTTCAGGTTTGTTATAAGTGGTATAACGCGGGTAACAGGCATTAAAATTAGGAGTTCTTTACCAGATGATTGATCAGTTTGTTGCCGTGACGGCTGGGCTCGGTTCTGGATTTTATTCCTCAAGCAGTTTTGCAGTATATTCCCGCGGTTGGCAAATTTCAGGGTTTCATTTGTATTCAACCGTCATCTACCTTTGAATATTTGAAGGCTGAGCGCTCTTCAAACCATTCAGGTCGAAGCCGCTTGAATAGGGGCAGCTGTTGCACCCCAAAATTTGACCAACCGGGTCCTGTATCTGGCTCGATGTTTCGCCGCATGACCGCATTCGCATCTGCATATCGCATACAGCGCATCTTTCATTTGTTTTGATTTTATCGGGATCACAGCTCTCGTCTCGTGTTTCAGGTGGTTTTTAATCAGTTTAGATAGGTAGAATCGTATTTTTTGAGCAGTCGTGCTATTCCCGGTGTTTTCAGCTCGCGCTGTTGTTTTTGAGGATATTTCGGTGTCCGTTTATTTTTATCGGTTATCCCGGTGCGCTCTCGCAGTGTTATTTGCCGTTCGGTGCTATTTTTGTTCCTTCGAGAATTATTGTGATTTTTCTGGTTTTTATTAGCTATTAATAGATATTTTAATAGATTTTAATCATTTTAGGATATTAATAGTTTGCTTTTAATAGTTTTAAATAGATTTAAATCATTTTTTTATCATTTTTAGAATATTAATAGGATTTTTAATAGTTTTAATTCTTTTTTAGATTTTTAATCATTTTAGGAGTTAATAGATTTTTTAGGATAATATAGAATTTTATAGAAATAAATAGTATTTTTTATTTTTTAGAATATATTAGGAATTAAATGATTTTTTTAATATTTTAGATATAAATAATATAGATTTTCTTTTAATAGAGTTTTAATAGTTAATAGGATCATTTAGTTTCATTAATATAGATTTTGTGGATAGTAGATAGTTTGATAGATTTTAATTAGTGTTTTTAGAATATTATTTCTTTTTTTAGAGTTTAATTAGCTTTCAGATTTAATTAGAGTATTAGATTGATTAGGTTTAAGTGTTAGATTTTAATTGAGTCTATTAATCTTTTTAATTTGTATTAGTGGTCCATTTAATTTTCATTCAGATTAGTTAATTAGTTTTACTAGTTAATTAGGTCTTTAATCAATTTAGATCAGTATTAGGTCTTAATCCCATTTTTGGTCATTTTAATGCAGTTTTTTGGAGTTTGTTGGCAGATTTTCGTGGGCCTCATTATTCATCAAAAAGCCCAAATTCGCAGGTCTATTTCCAGATCAGTCCAGAAAGATCCAGAAGCCAAGTCCTTCTATAAAGAGTCTGAGCCACGTGTTATCACGAGGGAGACCCCACATATCTCATTTCCCGCGCTGACACATCACTTTCATCATTTCCCATCTCTCTGCCACGCGCACACACGTGGCGTGCATACATTCCACCCCTCCACTACCGTGACACCTCACCGTCCACCCCCTTCCGCATGTGCTCCACCTGTTTCCCACCATCTCCCTGACACGCCACGCGTCCCACCTCACCTTTCCCTCTCCGGCCATGCAAACACCAGCGATGGCACGCCGGAGAAATCAGACGGCAGTTCACGCGGTGGTGCAACTCACCGGAACCTACAACCGTCGCCGGAAACCATAAAACTCATCAATGATTTTCCAGAATCCATCGTCCTCCTTCATCCATCTCCGATCATCATCTTGCCCTTCCGATCAACATCCAAACCATCATCTTCACATGCGTCTTTGTTCTTCCTACGTTTTCCCAGAGAATGATTACTAACAAGTCTTCAACAGAGGACCTTCATGATCTTCACCAACTTGCATCCATCGTTCTTAGATCCTCATACATGTTCCTCAGATTTGCCCTAGTTCGTTCAAGAACATCATCATTGTTCTTCACAAGATTTTCCAGAATCTTCAACATCATCAATCCCAGATCAACCTTCATCATCGTCCTCTAACACTCATCTTCATCAGTCACCAGAATCAACATCAACAATTCTTCATCTTTCTTCAGATTCAACAATAGACATCAGGAGATCGTTCAAGATTCCTCCGAGTTCGTAGCAATGCTCAACCGTCCACAAGAACAATTTCCAGAAACGAGCATCATCAAGAATCACCATCCGAGATCTTCATCAGTGCATGTGTCTTCCTCCTCGAGAACGAAAGATCTATGGCCATTCAAAGCAAATCTCCAGATCATCAGAAAATCTTCTAGGACTCATCGAGTCTTCTTCTGCTTCGTCGTGAAGGTCGGGTAGAGAAAGTTGAGAGAAGTTTGAGTGGAAGTGGGAGGTAGACGTTGGAAGGAGCGAAACTGAGAAAGGTGAGGAGAAGAGAGAACGGAGGAGAAAGAATTGGTCGGCGGCGGTGAACAGTAGAAGGGTTAACGAAGAAGATCTAGGGTTCTTTTGTGAAGTGAGAAGGAGGAAGAAAGGGTGTCAATCGGGTTGGGCCTCGGGCACATTGGTTTCTCGTCCATACCCTCCTGTTCCCTATTTCGCCCCCCCTCTGTGTGTTCTCTGCTGAATACTGGGCTGGGCCCAAGGCAATTACCAGCACCCCCCCCCCTGAGTTTCCTTTTTTGAATTGCTTATGGGCTGGGCCCTTTTTGATTTTTTTTGTTTCTGCTTAATTCCCTCTGTACCAGTACACCCCCCTCCCTTGTATTTTTTTTTTTTATATAGATAGTTTAATTGTTTCATGTGAGAAAAATAAAGGAAAAGAAATATTATGAAAAAAAGAGAATATTAAAAAAGGGAATAGTGAGAAAAAAGAAAAGAAAAGATAGTGAGAAAAAAGAAAAGAAAAGATAGTGAGAAAAAAGAAAAGAAATATTAGAAAAATATATAGAAAAATACAGAAAAATATGAAAAATATTTTGAATAAAAAAGAAATAGAAAAAAGAGAGAAAAAATATTGAAAGAGAAAATGGAAGAGAAATATTGAAAAAATATTAGTATAGATAATATTTTTAGAGTATGGTTTTTCATAGAGTTTATTTTCTTTTTAGAGATAGTTTAGAAGCCCACTTGTTAGGGGGCTATTTTCCATTCGATTTTTCAGGATAGAATAGGATAGTATTTCCTAGGAGATTTATTTTCAGTATGCGAGCATTGTAATCATTTTTCAGAATGTTAATAAAATGAGATTTGAGCTGTGGTCCCGAAGTAGCCGAACTACAGCTGCTCTGATTCCTCTTACTAGACGAGGATATGTAGGCATAGGATGTGATATCCTAGCGAGCACACTAACAATTAACTTTTGTTCTCTCGCTGCTGTGCGATCGAGACTTTCCCGCTGACGACTAATTGTTACCCTTTTTTCTCTCTTGCCCGAGCGCATTTGAGACCAAACCGTAGTTTTGCCCATAGGTCCCCGAACCTTTGAAGCCAGTTTATTTTTCTCACTGCTGTGTGAGAATACCCCTGTTTAGCCGTAGTTAGTCTGAACTACGTAAAGCTCTGATCTTCCACGCAGTATGGAAGTACGTAGGCACAAGACGCGAGGTCTTGGCGAGCCAATTTCCCGTAGTCCCGAACTACGTTGACTCTGACTTTCTCTCTTGAGAATACGTAGGCATAGAGTGCGACGCTCTATCGAGTCAAATCCCTTCTGTTTAGATTTAGCAGCCGTAGATAGATTATTTTTGCATCCTTTAGATAACCCAAGCAAGCGTGGATCCCGTCGAGTACGACGGACGTGAGGGGTGCTAATACCTTCCCCTTGCGTAACCGACTCCCGAACCCAGGTTTTGGTTGCGATGACCATACCTTTCCCCGTTTTTTGCGAGGTTTACTTCGAGCGTTTCCTTTCCCTCCGTTGGGATAAATAACGCACGGTGGCGACTCTTCTGTCAGCCGGCGCCGATTTTCGCAGTAGCGACAATAAGTTCAGTACTTTCTTTGATTATGCTCCGAAATTCAATATTCCTGGGAGGCGGTATCCAGTTGAAATCTACTTCACCCAAGCACTAGAGGCCAATTACTTGGATGCCGCCGTAGTCACCACGCTTCAAATCCATGCCACTCAACCTTCTGGAGATATATTGGTATTCCTTACCGGTCAAGAGGAAATTGAAACAGTGGAAGAAATCTTGAAGTATCGCATGAGAGCTTTCGAGGCTAAAATCGGCGAGCTAATTATATGCCCTATATATGCCAACCTACCAACTGAATTACAGGCTAAAATATTTGAACCCACACCTAAAGGGGCTCGAAAGGTTGTGCTCGCAACCAATATTGCAGAAACCTCGTTGACAATTGATGGGATCAAGTATGTCATTGATCCAGGATTCTGTAAGATGAAGAGTTATAATCCAAAGACTGGAATGGAGTCTTTACTGATAACTCCAATCTCAAAAGCTGCTGCAAATCAAAGAGCCGGTCGTTCTGGAAGAACAAGCCTATGTAAGTGCTATAGGCTATACACTGCTTCTGCCTTTAAAAATGAGTTGGACGATAACACTCCTCCGGAAATACAACTGACTAGTCTCGCCAATGTACTGTTAACCATGTACAGTCTCGGTATCGAATGTGAGAAGTTGATGCATTTTGAATTTATGGATCCTCCGCCAGTGGATTCCATCATCAAAGCCATGGAGCTTTTATATAATCTAGGTGCTTCAAACAAGCATGGCAAGTTAACTAAGGTAGGTAGACGGATGGCTGAGTTCCCACTTGATCCTATGTTGTCAAAAATGATTGTTGCTTCAGAAAAGTTCAAATGTTCTGACGAGATCATAACCATCGCTGCCATGCTCTCAACCGGAAACTCAATATTTTACCGGCCAAAGGATAAAAAAGTACACGCAGACAATGCAAGAATGAATTTTCACACCGGAGATGTTGGTGATCACATTGCGAATCTAAAGATCTACAATTCATGGAAGGAGGCCAGTTATTCAAAGCAATGGTGTTATGAGAACTATATACAGATAAGGAGCATGAAACGTGCTAGGGATATCCGTGACCAGCTTGCAGGTTTATTGGAGAAGGTTGAGATCGAACTAACTTCAAATTCTAATGACTTAGATGCCATAAAGAAATCCATAGCGTCTGGATTTTTCCCTCACACTGCAAGACTACAAAAGCATGGATCTTATCGACTGGTGAAAGGTCAACAGACTGTCCACATACATCCCAGTTCGGGGCTGGTAGAGATTCTTCCTAAATTGGTTTTATACCATGAGCTAGCACTCACAACTAAGGAGTATATGAGGCAAATCACTGAGATAAAGCCAGACTGGTTGCTGGAGATAGCCCCCCATTTTTACAATCCCATGGATCTTCAAGACTTGAGCTCCAAGAAAATGCCTCGTGGATGTGGACGTGTTTGCTTATAGCTCATAAAATTGTTAATAAGTTTTTGTTTTAATGCAGTTTGTAAATAGAATTTTAGTCAAAACAGCTGGAGATAATGCAATTTGTAATTACTTGCTTATAGCCCATATCAGACCACTTTCATCAAATGAAACAATGCAATTCAGTTAGCCAAGATCCAAATGAAAGGTTATTCAATGAATAAGAAATGAACATTTTAAAACTCTGGTTTATGGCCAAACTGAGATGAAAAGCTGACCTCTGATTAAAACTAACCATGAGCTGTTACTTGATTAAAACCTGTCGCAAGTTAACCGTACATAGTTCTAATTACATACCCCAAATGAATCTTTTCTATTTTTCAGCAAGGAAGTCCCAAAAACTGATGAAAAATAATTGTGTTATAATTGGTTTATTATGCAAAACTGATTACAAAAATCATATTAGTAACATCCTTCTCTAATTCTTTTAACTGACCCTGGATAAAAAAAGTTCATTTCCAGTTTACACTCTTTTGTATAGTTTCTCTGCCAATTTCTAACTTACATAGTAGCACAGACACATTGGGCTTGTTTGGATAAACAGTTTATAGCTCTATCTCCTTTCTAAATCTCTTCATCTCAGTGGAACCACCCAACTCTCACTCTACAACATGTTCCTTTTCTCTGCTCTCATTCCCCAACCTTTTTTTTAATTTCAATGCTCATCCACATCATGCAAACATAACTAGATGTTATTGTTCAAGACACTTTAATCAAATATAATGACTAGTAGTATTACAATAAAAAATTAGTTTAAAGAAAAGAAGAATTCATATATTCTAGACGTTAGGAGTTAAGAGTTTCCACCAACAACAAAGCTGCTTTTATAAAAAGCATGTTTTAACTCAACTTTATCAATTTCTTTTTGGTCAGAAATACATGAAATTTTTTTAATTTTAGAGATATCAGAGGAGTTAAATCTGCCAACATAAAGAGAAATTGTCACAAACTTAATAAGTTCCCACCTAGTTTTCATGCAAGAATATAATATGATAGCTCTATCGATGTTGGCTGGTAAAACTCAAAGTAGGTAATTTTCTAGCAGAGAATTCAATCTGCTCGATACCAGACAAAAGTTATCAAAATACTTAATTATCATAACTCGACTTAACTTGATATTTCAGAATGTGGACAAACCGACCACATGAATTTTTCGGGATGTATCCGGTAATACCTTTCTAAAGTCACAAATATTTCATAAATAAATTAATAAATAATTCAACACAATGTACCAACAAGGGTATCACATCGTCATAAAAACATCTTAAATAAACATCCGGCTCCGTAACACGGCTTTTCAAAATATTTAACATAATAATTTCAAACTTCGCAGCAAAATCATAATCTCAAAGTAATTTATTTTTCTTCATCAAACCTTTAAGTATTTTGGTCATTATCAAAAGTCACATCTTCAAATAAATCTAATCGTATAGAAAGCTCTTAAAATAAGTCTAACAAAACAATATAATATTCGACTCAAGCGTTCTCCACCCGATGTTACACATCAGAGCAAGACACCTCAATTATTAACGGAAATAGAGTAAAACAACTCCAAAGCTAAGTCTCCACGCATCTACGAGCTAATCTTGATCACCTGCATGTTACCTACGTGAAGGAAACATTCAAACAGGCAGGGTGAGTAATCACAATTCATTACAAAAGATATAAAAAATATATATAGTAGTTACATCAACAATTATCAATAATTCCTATAATCGTCACACATTACACATATATTCACACTGTCACTTCATGAAGTCATTCACAGCGTCATTATATCATCACCAAAACATCACTTAAGTCACAACATCATCAAAAATCATTTAACTCACAAGTATGCAATGTCACTTAGTATGTAATGCAACAACACGGATGGAACATATTTAAAGAGAACATGCTTTGTAACTCAGAACACAAGAAAAATTAACATGCTTAGCAAAAAAAAATAATAATTCAAAAACAGATGGTGATAAGATTCCACCTGCTCCATGTGGATGCTTTTCTTTCCTAGGTTTTCTCGGGTGGAAATGACATTTTTAGCCAACCTCTACAAAAAATTACGAGTTCTAGCATGAATATTTGCTTTCCATATTTCCTTCCACAAGGACTGAAAAGAAGTAATAGAAGGACCTGAGACTCTAGCAGCCTTTAAATTTGAACAAAGATGCTAACCAATTTTTACAGAGTACTCCCCATTCACTTCACAATGCCAAAGAAGCTTGTCTTCATGATCACCCAAAGAGGGAGGATGGTTGATAACTTGTTATGCATCCTCATGATCGAAATTGTTCTCAATAACCTCCTTCTCCCAGATTTTCAGATCTTCATGTATAAACTCACTCACTTTCGTGTTCTCATTGACACCCTGAGTTAGTATAAGAATCTTAAAACCCGAATTGTTAAGTATCCACTTGTCTTTACTCCTAAATTAAGTGTTATGTAATCTTTTATTTTTGGACTTCGGTCTTTCTTCCTTCTAAACGAAATAAAGTATAAAGAAAACAAATAACAAATATTTCTATTTATAAATATTTTAAAAAATATTGGATAAAATTTTGTCAACAATTAATAATAATAAAAAAAATGCATATTTATATAAATATCATTAATAAATCTTTTTAAAATAGGAGTTAAACCAAATTAGAAATTAGATGGCTTGAAATATAAAAAATTTAATTCTAACAATTTTGAGTGTATATTTAAAATAAAATTATAATTTTCATTATTAGTTCATATGTCTAACTATTAGATAAAAAAAAATTATTATTCATTTTTAAAAAAAAATTTAATATGATATAGATTTTTTACATTAACTTTTTACAATTAATTAATTATTTTTAATATATATTTTGCTAACAGTTATTATACCAATTAACAATATATATATATATATATATATATATATATATATATATATATATATATATATATATATATATATATATATATATATATATATTTATATATATATATATATATATATATATATATATATATATATATATATATATATATATATATATATATATATATATATATATATATATATATATATATATCTACTTTTTATTAGAGATAGAATATACATTTTAATATGGTTTTGGTTTTAGGATTGAAATTTGAAGATTTTTGTATAAATGGGGTCGATAATTATAACATTATTGAATTGACTTAATAACATTTATAGCATTGTGTAATACCCCAAATTTTACCCTTATATTTAGTCAGTCATTTCGCATATCATCTCATATGTACATTTGCTAACCACTAACAAGTTATGAAGGTGTTTGTTTTGCAGATTTGGTCCCAGGGGTATTTTGGTCATCTTACACAAATTCTACCAATGCCTTGAAGACGGTCTGTTATTAAAATTCTGAGGCATTTGATACGTTATGGTTTTGAGGCATTTACCTATCACCAGGGCTGATCATATTGAGATTTTTGGCATTTGGTCAGTGGAATTTAATTACGAGTAGTGTTACTGTTGATGCTGAAAATGTTGCGATTACGGTGCCCATATGTGTTTGGTTATGAAATGGTTGGTTATCATTTTAATCGGATGATGAGATTAGGATTACAAATGAGACGAGTGCACCAATAAGAATACCACTTGGGAATATTTATGTTTTATGCCTATGTTAATGAATTTAAATACTTGTGGATTTATTCACAATTGTTTATATTTTTTAACTAAGAATAAAATATAAATAAATTCAAAACTTTGAGAATTTTATTTCATAAATAATGTCATCATACAAGAAGTGGATGTTGCTTCATATTTTATAAAGTGCTGTTACAAGGAAGTACATTAAAGTTCTCAATCCTAAGGGATTACATTAAAGCATCTATCCTAAATCCTAAGAGCATCTAAAGGTCTTCATGTTGTATTTGAACTTCTCCATGAATCCTCAGCTAACCTGCACATCAAAAGAAAACAAACAGTACAGAAAAATGTTAGAAGTTTTTTTCGACACTCTCAGAACAATGTCATCATCGAGTGCCGGGAGTGGCACAACCGAAGCTGCGTCCTACCCCCGTTACCGATCCACGCCGTGGGCGTCAGATCAGGTAATACCTGTTCTTATCGATATGGGACATCCGAGAGATAGAAAAAATAAATGAAGTGGGACTGATTCGTTTTGCCGCGATTGGATTTCCAAACTGATACGAGAATAAGGCAACATAGGCAAGTTTTGACTCAGACCCGGATGCCGGCAGGTCTGAGTCACCTTGGTTTCAAAACTTCCAACACCTGAAAAGCCACAAGCATCATCAGAACTCAAAGCATAAACAAAACCAGGAAGGGGCTCGCGCCAATACAGGTATGAATAGCCACCAAAGAAAACAAATCTGTACCAAACAGAATGAAGACCCATGGTCCAGCAGAATGAAAATCAAGTTCGAAATAGAACAAGAGAAGCCAAACTATGGCATCAAGTTGCACAAAAAGAAAATAAACCATCAAACGATGCAAGTTCATGTGCAAAGGCCCTACCAATCTGTCATAATATTCAGCAGAATCCAAAGAAGCGCAACATCATACCAGAACAAGAGAGCAGGTCAATTCACAACAGCTCTGAACCAAACAAGAGAGTTCACCTCATAAAAATCAGAAGTGAATAAACGGACTGCACATCCAAATATGATGCCTAAAGCGCCTCAACAAGAATGAGAAACGGAGGCAAGATGTAACTCAGAAAGATTATCAGAACCAGCTCGATTACAAGGGACTCAGTCCATAAAAACTGTCATAGACATTACAATTGGAGGCACTGGGCTCAGCTTAACATCATAGCCCATTGAATCAACCTGCCAAAACTACACAGAAGAGTTGAGATTCATGTCAGTTCAGAATTGCAGGCAGTATTAAATCATGGCACGGTTTGTACCAGCAAGAATGATCCCATATAAACATGTCAGTTCATGAGATAAACAAGTTATCAAATCATGCTCAGTTCATAAAATAAACAAATCATCAAACA